CTTTCGGGAAGCCGAGCGACTGGCTGGGCGTTGTGACGGCGTCACTTGCGATGTTCGAAACGCAATCGCATGTAGGTTGAAAGGGCCGAGACTTATGTATGGCGTTCACAAGGACGGGCACATTGGGTTGCCATGTAACGTGTCCACCACCTTGGGACCTTGATGCGACTGCCTCGTGGCTTGATTCCTCACAAGCTGAACAAATGACGATCACTTTCTGCGCTTCGCGTGCGCTTCGCGAGGCACCTTGGTGTATAGTGGCAAAATCTTTGTTGCTAAGCTAAGGTATCACACAAACGACAAACAAGCTCACGCCGCGTAGGGAGTTTCAAACGGTCGCTCGGCCTGGGGCGTGATGCGCGCTAGATGCCTGCGGTCGCCGTCCTTCCAGTCCACGAGAGCAGAGTGCTGGGTCACACGGTTGTCCCACACGACAACAGTGCCGGCCTCCCACTTGACGCGCGCCTGAATGTCCGCGCTCCACGCGATATGTTCGTAGAGAAACTTGAGCAGCGCATCAGACTCCTCCTTCTTGAGGCCGACGATATCGCGGGTGACTGGAACCGTTAGCACTCATTTCTTCTAGAATCAGGACAGGAGAGTGCACGTACACTGCGGGTTGACGTAGATGGCCTTCTCCCCGGTCGCAGGGTGTGTCCTGACAATGGGGTGCTCGTTGGCGACGGGCTCCCTCCTCTTGATGCTGCCCTTACGGACGGAGGCCTCGACCTGCTCGAACCCAGAGTGCACGGCCTTGAGCCCGTGCAGCCTCTCCCTGAACAGCGGGCTCAGCCGCCTGTAGGCCTCGACGCCATCGGCGAAGAGCGTGTCGCCGCCGACGGCCGGCACGTCGAGGATGTAGAGGAAGGTGGTGCCGGGCGGCTGCTGCTCGTACGAGACGTCCGAGTGCCAGGCGACGCTCGACGTGCGCGTCGCGAAGAAGCTCTCGGCCGACCTGTCGTTGGCTCCGCGGTGCACGAGGTGGACCTCGGGGAACCCCTCGGGCGAGCCAGAGGTGGGGTGGATGTGGTGGCGGCCAAAGTAGCCGCCGAAATCGAGGGCCTCGCCGATGGGCAGGTCGGCAAAATCCTGGGCGCGGAAGGCGACGACCTTGCGCTGGGCGACGAAGAGGGCGAGCTCGTCGCGGCCGGCGGGCGTCAGGCTGCTCAGCTGGATGCCCTTGACCTCGGAGCCGATCGTCGGTGTCAGGTGGTTGACTTGGGTGCCCGTCGGCAGCAGGTTCGGGAAGCTGGGGTCGGCGTCCTTACCGTGCTCCTTGTGCTCGAAGGGCGTCAGTGGGGGGTACTTTTGCTCGGGGTTCCACGTCGGCAGGTAGTGGGGGTACTATCTTGACGTCAGTATGTTGAGGAAGCATAACGCAATTGGCGGCTTACCTTGGCCGCCTCGAAGCCGTCGCCGCCCTTGGTCTCCGTCTCCTTCTGGTAGTTGGTCGGGGACAGCTCCTTGTAGGGACCCGTCGCCGAGGCGTTGAGCCGGAAGCGCTGGGTCAGGGGCTCCGCCGTGACCGTCTCTGTTGCGGAGGGGGCCATGTTGAGTGATGCAGTTGTCAAGATGTATGACACGGTAGGTTTGTATACTCGACGCAGCTACGGCTTGATTTGGTGCCTATCCGAGCACGCAGCATTACCACAGTCAACTTATATAGGCATGCGAGTTCTCGACCCGATCACGGGGCCGCATCTCTGTCGGCTCGACGCGGGGTCAAGGATGACATGCTCGCGGCCCGCGATGGCGTTGGCTCACAGCGTCCCCAATGATGATACATGCATTCGCCGACTGACTGGGCGAAACGAACCACGGATGGATCCCCCCTTTCTCGATGGGCTCGCGAATGGTCATGGTGGGTGTGTGTGTGCCAGTATGATGCTGTGCCATGACGCATTCCGAGTCTCGTTTGATGGGATGATGGTCGGACTGCTTGTCCCCCCTCCTTCGGTTGTCGCGGACGGCGCCCCATCGGGCATGGTGAGGGATGGCGCGATATCCCGTGAATGAAGAGGCGGCGTGTGAGCTGTAGATGTGGCCATGTTGCTGTGTGGCGGGCGATCACGCCATGGGGCATCTTTCGTAAGCTTTCCCCGCATCGAGTGAGGTCGGAGGAGGTCCGATGTGGTTTCGTGTTGTGCTGTGTGGGTTGAATGGAGGATTTCGGTGGCGATGCGATGGCTGGATGTACTTCAGGATGGCTCAAAGTTGACAAGAACGTCCGAAGAGGAGACACCAGGCCATTCAAGTCCGACGGCCTCAAGCTCGCCGCCAAGACGAAGCCAGTCTGGTGATCATCGTGCTAGTACCATGTTCACGAATAACGCCCAGCACGCCATTCTGCAGCACAGCCTCCCTCACCTGCCGTGGATGCTATCCTCCGTTTGTTCGGGATTTGAAGAAGCTGCCGAGCCGAGACCGGCGTGGGATGCCGATGGGGGACGCCAGAGCATGGACGGAA